ACAAGGGGGAGGCAGGGCTGGAAGGGTGAGTGGAACGAGGAAGAAGCCCCTCATGGCTCCACTCCCTGCTCTGGTCCCTCGCGCCCCGCCACACTCGCACAAGGCCACCCTGGTGGGAGACCACCACTCTCCGCCTTCCCAAGCCCAGGCCAGGACTGCCAGCCCCAGGGCCACACTGCAACGGGGAGGTGGTGGCCGGGGCATCACTTGCCGGCAGGGCCGACAGCCAAATCCCGCTCTGGACGCTGCCTCAGCGTAAATTTAGAGGGACGTCCCCGCAGTGGTGACCAGGACTTGTTCTGTGCAAGGGGACAGAGCAGACCCTGGAAAAGAGATGGTGCTTCAAGACAACCATCTAGAGCCCGCGGTAAGCACAATCAGCTTATAGAAGAGAGCAAAACTGGCAAACAAAAATACTGCTCCTGGCACACGACTACTTCCATATTGATTCAATGCTTAAAAACACTCTCAGGTGAGGATGCCTTTTCTTCAAACCCTCCAGCAAATTGACTTTTGCTCTTGGCAACCTGCTGCCTACTCAGCCCTTGGCTCCTTCACCCCCTGGGCAGCAGCACCTTCCCGCAATGGTGTCTCAGTCCTCCACTGCCGGACCCCACCAGCCTCTGTGCTCCCTCCTCTGCTTCACCTCCTGCCTAAAGTCCTTCCAGAGGAGGAGCTGGAATTTCTGTGATAACCCACCAACGACCTGCCTACCCTAGAAAAAGCAGGGAGAAAGGCTTGCTGAAGTCCAAAGGGAAGCCTTCACCCAGGGAGGGGGTGGCAAGGCTGAGGCTCAGGCTGCCAACCTGCCCCCTCAGTCCTGCCTCTCCTGGGACAAGAGCCCATGCAGGTTGGCAAGCTGGCCAGATCAGGGTAGCTTTTCTCCAGTCGGAGGCTCTGGAAGGATTATTTGGCTGTAACATATCATATGACTTTGTTCTTAGAGTTACATTTTAACTGAGAAAGTTTAACAAGTATGACTTATGGGCTTCTAAAATTGGCAGCAGAAAAATGAGCCGAGGAAGTCATGGAAAAAAACCACAAGTGAGGCCATTCCATGTTATGCACAATTTCTGGGCTCTTTTTCCAATCTTCTGTTTTTTTGGATGGTGGAAAATATTTTCCAGCTACACAGGCCTGGCCTCACTGAGTACGTATTTATGCCAAGTTTATAAAAAGCAGCTGCAGACAGGGTTGAATGAAAGGATTACACTGCTGTCTGTCTTCCAGAAGGTGCTTCAGTTCACACCCTGTCCCACAGAGCGAGGCTCGTTTCTCAAATCTCCATGAATTTATGTAAAGAGGGACAAAATCTGAACCACACAACACAAACAGCTACGGCTGTGCATGCGAATGGGCATGCATGCGTGCACATGGAGCTGGCTGGCTGGCTAGCAGCGGTTCCTAGCCACTGCCAGTGCTGGCTTTCAGCGCTTGAAGTTTACCACTGTTCCTCCAACCTCTCCCCACCCTACAGCCCGGTTGGTCTTCCATGAATACAACACTGGGGAGAAGGCTTTCAGGGTTGAGACCCTGGTCTCGGTGTACCTCTGCTGCCTGCTTCATGTGTACCTGCTCTCCAGCTGCTCCCACTGAAATTCAGGCTTCAGCAACCTCACGTACTCTCAGGCTGCCAGGCTTTAAGGCTAGAAGGGATCGCTGTAAGCGTGCAGCCTGACCTCCTCCGCAGCACACTGCCACTGAATTTCAATCAGGAACCCGGGCAGCAGAGGCATAACCTTAATTTTCAGCCGTGTCTTGTCACAGCCTTGGCCTGATACACCAGTCACTAGAGGAGAGTCACAAATAATTCTTCACTTCTCCTAAACAGAAGAGCTACAGGGGGTGCGGGGAGGACACAAACTGAAAGTAAATGGATATAAAAAGGTAAGGTAGGTGGTAAGCTGCAGATCGTACATTACAGATCTGTACCCTGCTGTTTTTGCAGTCGAGTATCTTAGAATAACAGTACTGAGAACGACAGTGTTACATCAGGAATATCGGTCAAGACAATATTTCCTGGCAATTGTTTGAGAAATGCTTTTCTCACAGCTAATTGCTCCCAAGAGGCTGTGTTTTCTCTGTTTTTAGAAGGAGAGCGATTAAGAAAGAAGGTTTTTAAACCTCTGCACCCTGCTGTGGGACAAAGAACTGGGGGAAAAAAAAAAACAGAAAAAAAAAAGAAAGAAAAGAAAAGAAAAAGGCACAACAGCTGTAATGTTCTATGAAACGATTTTGTTCTGTTCTCTTGCCGGGGTGGTGGGTGCAATCATCAGTTTGGCAGAGATAAATACAGAAAAAGCACGAAATTGTAGAGGAAAGGCAAGGGGAGCTCCAGCTGCAGGAGTGCCACATTGCCATCTAGTGGCACCCGGGCAGCCGGAACGCTCTCCGCCGCTGCGGGCTCTCCGCCGGTGCTCGTCCCCGGGTACCCCGCCGGTGCCCACCCCGGGTACCCCGCCGGTGCCGCTGCTACCCCAGCCCGGTGCCCGGTTTCCTTTCACTGCTTTACCACCAAGCTCCATGACTGCAAACCGCTCGGTCTATATCAAAGATCGGTGCAGGAAGGCAAGGGGCAAAGGGAAGAATTCCACCAAAGGGAAGTTTAAAACAAATTTGGCTTTGCTGTTGGGAAAAGCTGGTGTTTTTCAACGGAGGCCTGTAGATTCCCCTCTGTCGTTGCTGCTGCACACAAAGCTACCGCAGCCTCAGCATGTTCTGCAATGGTCATATGGACGTCTACAGCAAAATGATGGGCTGGCAGGACCAGCGAGCACTGCCTTGTCCCCAGGAGACAGGCCTGACCCTAGAGCTGATGCCCAGTCCCAGCCCTGTCAGCCTCAGTACCTGTCTGCCCAGATGCTATCTGCAGTGCCACCCCTGAAAATTTAACTCTGCTATGTGCCTCTGCAGTGACACATTTCCTTTGTATTCTGAAAAGAATACAAATGTTAACCTTTCAACACTTGAAAAAACAGAAAAGCCTAAATGCTAATCCCCTTAGATAGCAAAAGACAGGCCCTCTACCTTTGGAAGACACCCAGCAAAGGGCAGCGAATGAATTATTTTGTATGACCTTCACACAGCAAGTTAAAAAGAAAAAAAGAGCTTTGGTGTATGCGAATCCTGACATTCACTGAAAGATGTTAGATCTTGGCTGCAGTAGACTTCTATTTAGCCAGAAAACAGAAACACCCCCAGTGCCCGAACTCTGCCAGAACAGACCATCATTTTGGGAAGCAATGGAAGAAGCCTTGCATTGGGCACCCAAGACTGCCCACAAAGCTCTGCCTCGTGGCAAAGTGCTTTCTGTTCTTGCATTTCCCACTGGAAATAAATGACCACTCTCACACCATATGAGCAATGAAGGGCGATTAGCAGCAAGCTGCATTTGGCCCTGGGGGAAAGGATGGCATGTCTAGCTAATCAGTAGCTCCGTGTCTTTGGTCCCCGAGTCCAATGAAGCTTCAGAAGAGCACAGCTGTACTGCATGGGGCCTAAACAGCCATGTGATATTATTTGATACTAGCAAAAATAATGTGGCTTTCCAAGAAAAAAAAATGCAGTTAAGTTCCCCAAGCTGAAGACAATCTATGGCTGCTCCAGTGCATCAGTCTTACAGCAGCATTTCTTCAAACGCCCAGAGTGATGACGTCTACAAATACTTTGGTGACTACGAATACTGTGATGACATATGAATACCATTTACAAAGTCCCTGCTGCATGAATCAACAACAAAGCTTGTGTTGTCACACCCCAGAGACCAAGCACACAACATCTCCAGTAATACCAGGAGTTGGGGAGGCAGAATTTGAACAGTAAGATTAAAAATAAAAAGGAAAGGCCATAAAGGATCCTGAGTCCGAGCCATTGCTGGTTCTGTCAGACTGAAATCTGCTTCTTAATTTTTTTTCTTTAAAATCAGGGTGAGATCACTATTTTTATTGAAAATGTGCTGCCCAAGGTAGGAGACATCCATCTGTGAAAAGATCTACAGTCTAATGACAAATATTATCAGGCCTGCTGAAAAGTTTTGAGAGCAACCCAGCAGGGAAAACACAGCTCCCAACCTTGGCAGAGTATCATAACAAACACTATCCTGAAAACAACCAAAAATGAAGGGAGGGATTTTACACAGGAGCCAATTGTTTCCCCTGCTTCACATTTTATGACAAAAAGCATGGGGAGAGCACTGCCCCACTATCAATACATTCCATCCCAGGGTCTTTGTGCCATCCCGGTCAACAGATAACATCTGCTGTAACTCTGAGGACTTTGAGCATTAGGAGCAAGCTTTAGAAGGCCGCGTTGTTTTTAAGGATGGGTCAACTGTCCAAAACTGGGTTACAACTTTCTCTCAGTAAAGTGCCTCTCCGGTTTTCAACCATTTAATCTGGTTGTCATGTATTCACAGTTTGCAATCCAACATCTACAATGGATGCTGACTCACTGCATTGCTTTCTAAGCTGTTTGCGCTGCTTAATACCCAAGTCCCAGCCTTCCCATTTGCATGATGGTGTCACTGAATTTCTGGCACTATGGTGTAGGCTGATTCCTAAGTTTTGACAGAACAGTCAGAGTTCCTTTTAAAGTTTCCATCAAACAGCAAGCCAGATCTCTGAAAGATTGCTTCTTACGTTTACAATGCAGAAGCCACTTATGAACTGCAGGACTGCCAGCAGAGTAATTAACCCAGTGCTCGACAGTTCGTATTATTTTATTTCAGTTCGGGGGGAATTGTGCTTCAAATCTTTTCAATTATAGTCTTTAATACATTTAAAGGTCTTTAATACCTTTTTTTTATTTTTGGGATGTTTCATGATTTACAAGCAGGTTGGTTGAGGTCTGATTTTTCCTGATAATACCAGTAACTAGCACCGATTAACCAACCAATCTAAAAATAATGTGATGTAGAAAAGGAGCAAGCTTCAGAGCTTCATCAGATCAACAAAACACCCACCCAATAACTACCAAAACAATCATACTATCCTAAACCTTACCTTCTCCCTTCCTGTGTTATTGTCCCAATGTCCTGCTCTTGACTGCTTAGGTTTCCATGAGGAAAGGACCGTGCAGAGTAAATTACAGGATCAGGACCGCAGGCTGTGAGCTTGCAGAAGCAGAAACTCCATCTTGACAGATTCTTCAGAGTGCCACACACATTTCTGCTGATACAGAAGTAATAATAATAATTTCATGCTAAGAATTCTGCCAGTGCCAATGGCCAGTAGATAACATCCCTACAGAGAAGTAAAAAAAGGGCCCTAAGCTCTGTCAGACAACTTCTAACATAAGCCAAGTGGGCTGATGCTAAAGATCAAAGCTTGAGATGGAGAGATAAAAAAAAATGAAATGTAAACCAAATAATAGCCCCTCATGGTTATGCAAATTTAGCCAAGTGTCATTAGAGCAAACACTCGAACTAGAGGCTGCAACCTGGGGTCAGATGGGGCTTCTCTTCTTTATATAAGCAAAAACTTCCACCTCCTTAATTCCAGGAGATGGTTAAGTCTTCATTGCAGTAATTTACAGGACCAAGCAATTACATTATACCGGGTCAATATGTGGTGAAATTTCCACCAGAACCAGGCTGTTCCCACCAATAATGAGATACTGCTATGAATTGATTAGTCATGTACTATAAATTAAAAAGACCGGAGAAGAGTTTCTCAAAGAACATGCTCGCTCAAGAATCCCTTTTCTCCATTTTTCCATTTAATTAGTCAATGCATTATAATTAACAAATTCATGCAATAATAATTGTCATTTTAATCATCAAAGCTGAATGTACATTCCTTCTCATTAAATAATGTTAAATACAACAGAAGATGCTAACCAGGTTGTTTCAAAGCTCCAGGAAATGCTATTTTACACACATGCCAAAACAGGCAACGATTGGTTTGTTACAGCAAATTTCTGTATCTTCCAGGCTATCTTACAGGGTGCAACACATCCAGTTTGACCTACAGAAAGAGAAGCAGCATGGTTTGCAGCATGGGTTGCAGAGACAGTATCTTTTATTAAACAGCCCTCTTTCTCTAGATACTTGCCGTGTTTTAAGCAGACTGTGAAGAATTTCTCATGAGTTGAATGTTTGGAAAATTGCTGATCAACAGCTACAAAGGCTGAAGACTTCGATTTATTTGTATGGCATAAACATACACCTTCCCCCTGCAAGCACAGCTCAGGAAGCAGAGGAAAGAACACTTCTGAGGTGTAGGAGTAGTTACAATTTGGTTTTAAGCCAGGGTGTCATTATGATACTAACAGCTGCCTCCAAGGCATGAGAGAGACCCCAGTTCACTTCACATCAGCCACGGGATGACAACAGGGTGAGCAGATTTTGCCACCTTAAGCTGAAATTCTACGAACAACAAAACTACATCCTATCACCAACCTATAATATCTTGCCCTTTCTCCTCCTCACACGGACCATCACAGCCAGAGTCCAGCTCCAGGCAGAGTTTCAAGATGCAGATTTCTCTTCCACCCCTTCTGCAGTTAACAGGTGCTCTCCTCTCACTCCAGATAGCAAAGCTTATCCAGAAAAATCACAGCTGGGCAGGGGAAAACTCCTCTCTTGCATGTCTGGGAATGACATTTTGTTGCATTTTGTTGCAGAGTGTAAGTCACACAACAGAGCTGGCTTATCTATATACCTGGTTCGTGTTGAGGGAGGGGGGAGAAAGAAAAGGGAAATCCTTCTCACCATGTCATCACAACAAACTAAACACACAGGATTTAAAAAGCCAAAATCAGGTATCAGTAGAAACACGTGCCACTGCTGCCCCACTGACCCTGTCTCGTACACCATACCAAATTTGTCTGGGCAAAATGCTGCATTGCATCACCTCACCAGACAGGAAGATTCTAAAAAGTAGGATTTTGCAGGATGAGCTTGCACAGAACATGTGTGCAAAACTGCCCTCTGCTGTTCAGATTAAGACCTGCTCAAATAAATGAGAGACTAAATCAGTTTTCAGTTGTAAGGGTCCAAGTAGCGTGCCTCCCTGCACAACAGAAATTTCATACATGAAAGCCACGCGTAACTGCCTTGCAGCACGGACCATCCGGATGGATTTGCAGGCTGTAGCAACGTCCTGCTAGCAACATTGTGCAACTATCGTGCAGCAGGTGAGCACCAACAGACATCCTCTCACCCCGACCGCGAGGCAAGAACATCCTCAAGGCGTAAGGGAAACAACGGTAATTGTGAGCAAGCACTGCAGGAGGACATGCATCTGTCAACCTGTTAAATCAAGGCCTGACCTTTACAAAACAGGAAATGGAACTAGAGGCCTTTAAGAGTTCATGATTATTTGCTCACAGCAGTGATTGGAAAACAAGGTAGTGACCTTATCAGAAGATGTCCAGTAAATGCTCTCTAAAATTAGCCCCTACTGCTGGGAAAGAAGTGAGAGCCTGCATTTTCTTTTCAATAACATATGGAAATGACTGTACTTTGAAAAAGCTGCCCATCATCTAGTGCCAATAGGCTGGACAGTTTGGTACAGAAACATCTCAGAAGGGACAGCTGCTTTCTGTGGCATCACTCACACACTCGGGATACACAGGATGTGGCAAATTCTGCCCTCCGAGAACAGCATCGATGTCCACATCTTCTTCTTCTTTGGGAAGCTCTGTTTTGGTAAAAATGCAGAAAACAAGTACTGTTACCCGCACCAGAAGCTCTGGAGTGCCTCTGATGAAAGCCCAGCCCTCGTGATTAAGCACAAGTTTCATCTCTGCAACGGGCTTTTGGGCAAATTCGACTGCTGTGCCAACAGGCTTTTTTTTGGTCACTGCACAAAGGAGACCATAAGTTTTACTGGTCAGTGTAAACACACATATTAAAAACCAAACCAAGACTTGAAGAAATTAATATTTTTTTTCACATCCGCCCTTTTCATATCCATATGTTTAAAAGCGCAGAAGCATGGGTGTACAGTACAACGTGCCTTTGAAACACTCACTAAAAGCACTTAGTGACCACTTCAAAGATTCCCTTGAAGTTCTAACTCATGTTAATTTTAACACAATGGTCATGTAGGGCCACTGTTCAGTCTAATGGACTTTAAACACACCATCAACAGATGTACAAATGAAACTTTAGACAGAAGATTCTTCTGGGTGCATAAATAGCTGGAGCTTCCTTTGATGATGGCTGGCTGGCCTCCTACACAGCAGGGTTGGGACTTCTCTATTTTTCAAGTTAAGGGCAACAATAATATTCTGTCATCCCCCAGGGTAAGGAAATTAGTGCCAGATGATTCCGTGTATGCCTGATCACTCTGGTTTTGGATTCAATTCCATTATCTAGAAAACTTAGTGGTGACTCATCAAAGGTAGTCCTGCACGATCATGAAACTAGCTGGGTTCTTCTTCTACAAAAGCTGCCTGAGAAGCTTTTAACTGACAACAGGAGACTTCCCAACATTAAACTAACAGACCTCCGATTTCCTCAATGAGAAACCTTCTTACTGCTGAAAACAAGTGCCCTCTTCTTGGAGCACCAGAGAAGGCAGGATGGCTCTTTCTGGGAGAAATATTAGTAGTTTTACCTGCAGTAAAATAAGATTATGGATCCCATTGACCAGCAGCTCTGAGCTCAATGGCAACAGAATCCACAACTGGAATGGCTCACTTCCACCTTTTTTTATTCTGCACGGGTGAAAAGAAATAAGGTACAGCTAATGCAATGGCATTACTACTGCTGATGCAATAACATCCCTCATTACCACTGCACTTCCAATGACCCGCACTTTGCTTATATCTGAAACCAGCTCTTAATTACAGCCTCCTACATCTGTGAGCTGTACATGCCAGCTACACCGCTGTCAGCTGCTGCCACTGCTGGAGCAACACCAAATTCCCATTTGAGACAGTATCTCCAAGTCTTCAAAGTTCCTAAGGTATTAGCTTCATCAGATTTTGGGAAAAAGAAAAAAAAAAAATCTTAAGCGTTCTTAAAAGGATTCCTCATTCCCACCCTATTAGCCAAAGCATTCAAAATGGGTATCAGAGCTTGCTCTAGCATACCTAGCAGGTACTTCTGGGCTATCAAATATGAAAGCAAATTTGTACTTAAGGCTTCATTTAAACCCATGCTATCTAAAATTTTGTTTGCAGGACCAAGAAAACTAAAAAGGGTTAGAGTAATATGTATGTCTTTGATGTTTATTAAAGTAATGACGATTTGTAGACACCACCAGACTATCAATAAGCAAAAGCAGAAGAATGGACACCCAGGTTTGCTAGAACATACTTAATTCAGGAGAGTTTTGCTGTAAGCTAAATTGTGAATACAAATTGCCACCATTACACCAGAGTACAGAAAATTCTTCAGTTCTGAAGGAAAGGCGCCACTTTTATCATGCTGTTTGGATTTGTTTTTCAAGGCAGAGTGAAAGAGTTTGATTAACCTTAAGACAACGTTAAAAGCTGAACCAAAAAAATATTACACTGAAGCGACCACCACCAGCAAGGACAGCAGGTAAACGTGTTAACAGTTCTGTCGGGATGAGCTATAAATTCTTACTTTTTACTCTGAAGGGTTAGAAAATAAAAGAAAAACTCCCCTGAACAATGCAAGCACAAAAAATAGTCCTAAACTCCAGCCAGCTGTTCAGGAATTTGTTGTTTGTACCAGCCATTGACTTCAGTACTTGTCATATCACAGAAAGATTCAATAGCACCTTAAATCTTGCAAAATTATGTTTTCAAGGGGCTAAGGGGGAAATAATGTCTTCCACAGTAAACCATCTAAGCAGACTGCCTCAGGAAGAGCAATTTCTGCTCCCAAACTCGGGTATTTGACTGGCAGGTGACCATGAACTATTCACTTCACCTCAAAAATTCCGTGTAAGGCTAATTCTGAAACATTGAGACCTATTGGCTTGGAAGAATCTGCCTTTACTGAAACTTACAGCAGGCTGAAATGAGATAAATGGGGATGCTGGCTGAAATGCTCTCACAGTATGTCACTTCTACTTGGACTATGTCATCAGCTACTACCTTACTACCAATGTATCAACATGGTTAGCACAAACTTTCAGCCAGTCTGAAGAAAGACACCTCAAAGCATTGTCCTGCTTTCCTCTCCTTAAGTTAAAACAGAAGTCACCATACCAAAAATATAAAGCTACATTTTTAATTGTTTATGCCACCTGAGTGGTGATAGCACAAAACCAACAGTAGAACAGTAGAAGCCAATCTGGTTTGATATTTAGAACATCCTATCCATGGAAAACCTGCTTTCAGAAGTCATTTCTACTACTCACTTGAGTCTGCATATTATTTGCCTCCTTTTCATTGGCAAAGGAAAACTTAAATTCAAGTGTACAGTATCACATCATACCAAAATTTTACAACACTTTTCCAATTCGATTAGCTTTAGCTAGTTTAGCCTGGCGATAGCATCATCTTACCTTATCAGTGCCATTTTTTAAGACAAATGCCAAACACCGTTAACAACCATTTTCTACGGTCATGAAGAATAGAGACTGACATGTTAGCTGCCTGTCCTGCAAAAAGGCTTCGAGCTTTCCAAAATAAAAACATTTGTGCTCTTACAATCTGCCCCAGGTTCTACTCCAAACAGCTTTCTTTCAGACACCTGCATTAACAGAGGTTTCACGTTTGACAGATACAGTTTTGACTTGCATCACTTTAGGTGTTATTGTTCCTGACAGAAGTGGATTTGTCATTCTTTCTGCAGCCAGCCATCTATTACCATTCTGATTTGCATCTCTCCCTAAGGCGAGTGGTTACTGTTCGAATGATCATGTCTATTTTCTCAGGAAACGACGTAAGGTTTTAAACTTAATTAAATGCATTGGAAGACCAGCCATAACATTAAAAGTAAATTTTAATGTTAAGTCATTTTTTAGATCGTTTGCTCTCACACCGCAATTTTCTGAAATTTAAAGTAGTACTATAGGGACACACAAGTGCAGATAAATCTTTATTGCCATAACTTTGTTTTTTCAAAAATGAGCATTGGGCTTTTAATAGGTCGTAGTTTTATGTCTTTATATGTACAACATTACAACTGCATATTTTAATAATAATGAAGTTAGTGATACTTTGATAACTCAACACAGTGTATTTATAAAATGAATTCTTATCAAAATACACTTTTCACTGGGATAATAAATAAAATCCTGCGAAACCCACCTACACAAAGTTAATTTTAACTCTGGTAGAACCCGATGTGGTACACAGTCCATTAACTACTATGTTTGCCCCTTTATCCCCCTAGTGATGCTCATCTTCTGGGGTAAGAAAACATTTTCCCCCCATGTTGTGGTGTGACCTCATTCAACATCATCTTCAGCCAAGCACTGTGCACTTACAATTCTCTGTAAGAAGGAGAAAAACTCATTCACAATTACGTAAAATTGACAGTAGGCAACTGATTATCAAGCAATGTAATTTTACACTGAACATTAGACAGTGTAATTGCTGAGCAAACTGATTAATGTTAAAAATGGTAATCTATTAGACATAATTTCTGTGGAACTGACTTCAAAAGCTTATATACTGTCTAACAAAGCCAAAGTCAGATAAATAATATCCTGTCAGGCTCAAGTGATGACCTCTGTGTGTTTTTTGGCACTGTTCTCTAAGGAAACATTTTTGCTCCATTGTTTCCCCAGACTTTTACATCTTGTGTACCTGACACTTTTTAATAATTTTACTAATTATGTGGACCTTAAACGAAACCTAAGTTGTAAAGAGAGCTCACTAACGCACAGCACTGAGTCTCTGCTTTATGTGAGTTAATACCATTAGGGAGTACCCTAGAATTTCCAAGAACGCAAAACATATTTATTTCACGATAGACACACCTGCTAGCATATTATTAATGTTACCTGCACATTACTCAGGCTGAAAAGGGAGGGCATTTTATACAGAGAGCTACAAACACTATTATCAGGGAAACCCCCAAGCTTCCCAAACAGTCATGTGATCTGGTGCTAGTTAACAATTTGTGTTTATAGCTAGCAAAAGCAACAGATTAATTCTAATGGACTTCTACAGCACTTACAGACACTTGTAGTAATAGAATTAAAGCGGAATAAAACTCAAGACCTAGTGCAAGAAAGTTACCACTTTTCTGATCCCCCAACCTGTATTTGGGAAACAGTGGACCCGCTTCTAGTATCAGAGCTGTGGTCAGGCGTCTCTACTTTAGAAGAGCTCAGCACACCCTATGCATGAGGCAAGTTTTGCATTTCTATTTTATCCTGTTTGCTACTAATGCTACACAATATTTTTCATATGCACTTTTTAATATTTGGGGTGAAAACAAAAGCTGCTTTTAATCTAACGGAACACATTACAAAAACCAATACTCAGGACTGATGTAGTGGGTAAGAGAAGTAATTAAATTATTTTCAAACCAAAACAACAGGGGATGTTTCACATACCTGGCTTATTGTAGGGAGCTTAGTTAGAAGCATTTGAAACACTGGTGGTGGAAGTGTCTGCTGTAGAACTTGTAGCAGCTGCTGCGGCTGTCCACACACAGCAATGGCATTGGTCAAGTGATCAACACCTTTCTCATATTCACCTGTATGAGAAATCATAATGTTTTGAAAACAACCTTCTTCCACGCTGTAAAGTATTTACATAAAGCATCCATCAATGGTGAATTAAATTACTAAGAATCAATCCACTCTTTTCTTTCCTCCTCTCTTGCTGGATCTTCTGAACACAGAAGGTTAGAAACAAGTAAACAGATTTTCCTAGGTGAATTTGACTCCCCAAAAAGATAACAGTATATAAAGATCATCATCTAGCAAAGGTAAAGAAGAATTATTTTACCCCTCACCCTTAAAAAACAAACAAAAAAAACCAACCAACCAAACAAACAAACAAAAAAAAAAAAAAAGAAAAAATAGCAGCTATTACCTTGAGCTAGTAGTTCCTCGCCAAGCTGAATTTCCTCAAGGAAAAACTTCTGCACTGCTTCAGCATCTTTCAAATCAGGCAACTACAACACACACAACCATACTGTTACACAAATTCAAAATGTCATCATAAAGTTAAATGTACACAGAATATTCTTGAAAATCAGACTCGGGTCTCGTATCATTGCATCACAAATCTGTAAAGAGACAGAGCCTGAAATACCTCAACTAAGTTTACTAAGTACAGTTTTGTAGCAAATAAACACAACAGACCTTAGAATTTGTATCACAAGTATATTTCTTACAATTGGCTAAGATAAATCTATCTTTTCTTCCAGGATCCATTGGTGATAAGGAAAGAGAAATTTTTTCCTTATAGCAAAAAACTATCAAGTTCAGTAATAGGCGCATGTCATTAATGATTTTTAAGTCTGAAAAGTCCATGCACATACTACGAAGAGGAAAACACCATCAACTCACACAATGAATTATGTACTTTCTAGTTTAAGGCCTCTACCTGACACAAAAAAAGGAACAACCATTTCACATGGTTATCTGTGAGCATTAAAAAAACCTAAAACTGCATATTTGGAGAAGTGTTTGCAATGCTGGAATCAAA